TTTTGTGTAAAGTGGTAATCAAAAGTATTTTCAAGAAGGAGAATGACTCAATTAGTGAGAAACATATCTAAATTCCTTGCAACCGTCTATCTTACTCTTTTTGGATGATCCACCTACTTGGAAAGGTTTCATAAGAAAAATAATGGCCAGTGTGTGTCTGTATCTCCTGGGACAGCTGTGCGAACAACAGGACCAGAGTGCACTAATGCATTTCTATTTTCATGTACGATCTTTATCAGCAGCTAGTACATTTGCTACTCTCCTTGAGTGGTGGGAAGCAAGCAATCTTTTCTTGTGCTGTATTCCCCTTTCCTAATGATAGGCTTACCCAGTAGTAAAGCAGGTAGATTTATCAGGTTGTTGCCTGCAGATACTTTTTTTGTTCCTGCCTCCCTTCACTAGTGAGTCTTTTAAGATAGTTAGTAGAAATAGCTACTAACTCCCAGCTCCTTTTTTGGGGAGAAGGGGGTATTATGAAAATATTAAATGAATGTATCTGTTAAAACTTGAATGCTATCATTTATTTTAAAATCAAAATCTCCTTTTTTTCTTCAATAAGTAAAATCATTTTCCTTATTCTTTATGAGGGAAACTTACCCATTAACCTTTCTATTTTCAGAGACTTCCTTTGACCTGAACTAAGATGTATTAGAGAAGAAGAAAAACATGTCATAAAAGTCAGATCCTGATGTTTTGCAAGAATTTTTATGATCAGAAACTTTCATGTTTCTTTTCTTTCTGATCATCTAATATTCCCATTTCTACTCTGAATCTTTACATCTTCCCCAATATGTATTGTCTGCAGAGGCTCATGAGACTGTTTTTTCAGGGTGCCTTGCATTAATCCTACTTATAAATTTACTTTTCTTACTTTATAGTTTCCTCAGTCTCCAGGCTCTTTTTAGTCATCTCTATAGTGGCACCATGTGATAGTTGGTGTGTTGATAGGATATAATGCTATTTAACAACAAATATTCTACAGACGATAATTAGGAAGTATTACTTTGATGGAAACTGTTAGTAAGAATCATATTGAAACGGACAGATTAGCCATGTATATTGGTGTCTAGTGATATGCAATCATAATGTGTATGTGAATGTGTAATTGTAGAATGTAGTAGTTGCCTCCATGATATCTATCTCTGATGTTGTACTCCAGTCACCCCTAAATTCTTTCAATAGCTTATTATTTATCTGTTACTTTAATATCTTAACTTATATGATATTATAACATGCTCTGAGGCACAGATTTCTTAGTTACAGAATCTAAAATTTTATCTACTGTTTGCTCCTCTCTGAAAATAAAGAGGTTTGAGCTGACAGAAGGCACTAATGCTCTCCATTCAGAAACTATATAGGGAATTAGGCAGCTGCTGTCCTTGGTGATGAAATTATTTCATGTGAATTCACAAAGAAAACAACTAGTTAAAAAAGCAGGGTAATCTTGAGTACACTGTTTGTGGCTACTGTTGGTATCTTCATAGATCTATTTGAACTAGAAAAGTACAGACTCCAGTATCTTAATGTCTTGAGTTCCTGACTGCCAGGCAGAGGAAATGTTTAACTATTTTAATCATGTTTCTGTATCTCAGAAAGAAAGCCCTTATGAGAGGAAATGACAACGTCCTCCTACCACAAAGTTATCTCTTATCAGTTATAGTCTCAGTCGATAATGATTTGTCAAACTTGGACATGTGTAAAATGCAAGGGCTGTGTTATTTACTTTGGAAAGGAAAAATTAGATGAAGCTGATAAAGACGGAGTCATGGCTTTTGTTAGAAGACAGAAACCATTACAGACAGTCATTGTTAGCTTAGGAAAGTGTCCTTGGACCCCTCCCTCTGCCCCAGCTGAAACCTAAACCTGCTTGAATCATTTGCAACTTGAGGGGAGGAGGGGGCAAAGGAGTGGAAGAAGAATGAAGACAGCTTTGACATAGATTTAGCATTTTAAATGGGAAGCAAAATGTGGACCTTAAAGCAGACCTATTTATGTGAGTCAGGAAAAACTGCCTTTTGTTCTTTTCCCCACTCCCATTTATTTAGAGTTTTAAAAGTTCATTTCTGTAGCATTCCTTCACGTCCGCGTATGTTGCTCTCCTCCTTTCGCCTTTCTGTGGATGTAAGTGATTCTTTTTCATTAGTGGAAGCAGAGAAAACATGTCTAGCTCAAAGCAACATGAGTCAGTGCATGCTTTACATACCTTTCTCCTCACAGCACTCTTCTTGGTTCCTCACAGTGTTCCTCACAGAAGGGAGCATGGAGGAAAAGTGATTCTAAATAGTAGGCTATTTTGGGGTGGAGGTAAAGTTTGTGAACTGAAGCCCCATTTTGCTCCTTCTTTTCTTGACTAGATTTCTGTGTGCTGCTTTCAGAGCAGGCAGTCATGTGCTTAGGAGGACAACTGGATCATGGTTTGAGAGGCTAAGAACTAGCAAAACCAATACTTCCAGATCAGGGCACTTTAAACAGTTTGAAGCTGAGTATAATGATGTCAAGACAGCCTTACAGAGAGTAGGTTTGGTTGTAAATATTTGGTGGAGATGACAGGAAAGGCCTTTGTCTCCTCTCTAAATATATCTATTTTTTATTTGGCCCAGATGAACCAATTTTCTTAGCCCATATAAGGGCTCCTGTTAGCTTATTCGTCACAGATTTCTAGGGAAGTTATCCCCTAATGTGGGTGTTCATTCTGTGAGGATGGGTCTGACATGTGAAAGGGCCAAGGCTCTGTCTAAGAAATGACTAGAAGCAGTTTCCTTTTGAATGAAACTATGACTCTGAGTCAAAGCAAAACAAAATAAATAAACTGCATGAAGAAGAACATAAAAACAAAGTTGTGATAGAATTTTTTATTCAAAATTAGTTAAGAAAATTTCCTTAAACTTTTTGTAAATATATATTTAATAAATGACGTTATAATCATTAATTCTAAATAAAAGAAAAAAGTTTCATTTCCTACACAGATAAAGTTTTGTTTTACATCTTTCTTGTCTTTTTTTATATGCATGCCTAATTTTTATGTGGTTTAAATACTATTGTAAATATAATTTTATGAAATTTTTCTATTTTTCTTCTTTTGAGATTGTTTCACTTAGCCATAGTTTTCGTTAGTAGGCTTTTTTTCTGGAAAGATAAAGTAAATTTTCTTCAAATCTCTGCTTTGCAATAAAGAGGGGAGACTGTAAAGATGCTTTAATGTTGTCGTTTGCATAAGACTGCCTAAAATGATCACCTGTTGCCTCTTTTTTTGTTATTAAGATGAAAATGAGTGTCCATTTGTACTTTTAAAGTTACTTTTTTTTTTTTTGCTGAGGAAGATTTACCCTGACCCAATGTCTGCTGCCAATCTTCCTCTTTTTTCCTGAGGAAGATCCTCCCTGAGCAGACATCTGTGGTCAGTCTTCCTCTATTTTGTATGTGAGCTGCCACCACAGCATGGCCACTGAGGAGTGGTGTAGTTCTGTGCCCGGGAACCAAACCCAGGCCACCGAAGTGGAGCTTGCCGAACTTAACCACTAGCCCACCAGGGCTGGCCCTTAAAGTTACAATTTTTACATACATTTTAATCTTACTTTTTCTTTAACTACATGGTACCCATCTGTCCATAAATTGTTTCTCTCAGTAATTTTGCAATGCTTGCTAACTTTTCTAAAGGGTTTTTTTCCCTAAAGTAAAACTATGCTTGGGCCATCGTGTAGGATCTTGAGCACCTTACTATCAATCTTTGGATTCACATGAAAGTTTGTTTTGAGTGCTTACACAGTATATAGCACTATGAAGTTCTTAAACAGAGAGATTTAATCTCTGCCCTCATGGGTGCAAAGCAAATGAAAAGAATAGTCAATAAATTTGAACCAGTAAATATAGAGATGTGATTGTTTTGGAGGGAAAAGAAAGTAGACATTGTAGTGTTGAATTGTGGAATGAATAGATTGCATTAGGAAAAGCATCTTGGTGGAAGAAGCTATGCCCCCAAAAAAGAAATGAGGCTTACTTTATGGAATAAGGGAAACTGACCTTGTAATCATGAATCAGCCCAAGCTAGTTTAGATATGCCTGCTGCTTATATTCTGATGAATCATACAGTTACCTGTGTTACAGTAAAAACTTCATCTAGGTCTTTACTTTGATTATTTCTTTATGTAATTTTGTCTTTTCTTTTTTGCTTTATTTTGTTTTGTTCAGTATTTACTTTCAGTGTCTCTTTTTTTGTTGTTAAATTCATATAGGTCAACTGATAGTTTCCCTTTTCAGAGAAAATTGAGGCCAAAGTAAATTGTAACTTACTCATGTCAGGTCACATAAATCAGTTTTCGCACTCTGACTATACTCCAGTTCTTACCTGATGTTTTTTGTCTTACTTTCTCTCTTGATGTCGAAATTTAATGTGTATGCATTGTTCATATTATAATTTGCTGGTATTACTTCTAGGTTTGGCTTTTTCATTCATTATCTTATTTTTTACATGATCTCCCTTTTCTTCCTAGCATATTTCTGTATTCTGATTGCATGCTGACTTAAATATTCATTAATTCTCATGCCCTTCAGAAGTTGGCTGGCAGGTCATTTAATTTATCCTGTGTGGCATGTTTTATTTTTGACCGCTGAACTTATTTTTTTTATGTGCACTACCCTGTATCTAAGAAGACAAAGTCAAGTTATCAGTCATGTTCCCACCTTCTTCTTCTTTTCCCTTTGGAGGCCCGTAGCCCAAAATGTATTCCTAAAAGCAGATGCAGGACCAGTGACACCTGTTACTCTTCTCTGCTATCCATCCTTCTGCTCTGTGTACCAGCCTTGGTGTTATCTTCAAAGTTTATTAATCCCATGGCTAAAAAATCAAAACTAGGTTTCTGGGAGCATGGTTTGTTGTTTTGTGTTTCTCTCTTAGAAGCTAGAGCTGGCCTTTTTTATTTATACTTGAGTAGTAACAATGCATGCAATTGCTCTTCATAGCTTTGTTTGAATATTATGTGACAATCTTGCTTGTTTTGCAGGTACCTGGGGCCCAAGATTTGGTGGACTTCTCTCCTGTTTATCGATGTCTACACATATATTCTGTCTTGGTGAGTCTTTATCTGTCTCTGCCTAATAAAGATGTATATTGAATTCAAAACTCTGCTTTCTCACTTTTGATAGTTTTTTAATTTATTATTAAGAGTGAGGAAAGAGAAACAATTATTTAAGGAGTATTAATTATAAAAAATAATGCTTCTTAAATCTTTTATTTATGTTTGCCATATGATATGCCATAGCTAGTAATGTTAATTTCAAACATATTATTAGATTAGAAATAGTCTGTTTAGACTAGAAATAGTCATATACACAGTCAGATATCTGTTCTTAATTTAATAATGTAGTTATTTAAATTAAAATATCCTATCTTTTGCATATTAAAATTATGTTTGTAAAATGTTTAGTTTTTGATTCCTGATGATAGTTATTCCTTTTGTCATATGAAGCATATGGAAAGGGGAACCTCTCGAGGGGAAGAATATTATGGGTGTTAATGGTATTCTAAGAAATGGCCCTCTCTGTCTTAGTAGTAAACCTATATGCAGAGATACAGATACACACAAAGTCAATCAAAAATTAAACCACGAAGCTAAAGTATCATCAAAGACAAATTGATGATAGAAGTCCATTGTTGTTATCTTTTATAGCAAAAGTTCAGTGAAACTTCTATCAGGTTGTTTTTAGTATGTTTGACTATGTCTTATTACCCAGTCTGTTATCCATTTTCTCTCTTCATATATTTAACATAGTGTCACTTAGTCATTACTCCAGACAGTTTGGGACACTGGCCTGAAGTATTTTGTGGTGATCTCTATGAATCTGAGAAAAGACCTGGTAGCTTCGTCACCTCTCCTCTCCTTCTCCCACTTCTCCTTGCCTTCTGATTCCTTCTTCCCCACTCCTGCTTTTCTCCCTTTCCAGTCCTTCTCTCCATCTGTCATTCTTCGTTGTATAAAGGTGAAGCAGGATATAGATTGAGTTGTATCAAGGCATCTAAAATAAGTGGACAGTTTTTTTTTCAATCTCATATATAGGAAATTAAATAAATCATATACATCTTAGTTTGTTACACATTATTAACATCATTTTATACAAGGACCCCTCTTGTATTTTATTTTATCATGTTTTTTCCATTCATCCCCTATTCACAAGCCCACTTCTCTCTCATCTCCAAGTATACTAACTCTAGGATGTTTAGTATATGATCATGGTTATATTTGTATCCTTAAAAAAATATATAGTAATTTTGTATATGTAGGTGTTTTAAATCCACTCAAATGGTGTTGTCTTACGGATCTGGTTCTATTTCTTGTATTTTTATTCAGCACTATTTGTAATATCTATCCTTGTGATAGTCTGTATATCTAGCTCGTTGCCTCCCACTTCATGATAGTTAACTGATGGTTTGTAATTTGCTGTGTTTTAATTATTTGTTACTTTAATGATCAACACTTAAATTGCCTCTAACATTCTGCTGTAACAAGTAGTATCCCCTTATAGACTGGTATGTAAGTTTCCATGGTTTCTATACCTAGGAGTGGAGTTGTTGGGTCATAAGGTATATGTATAGTACTTAATATCACTGATTTCTAATTTCTGCTAACCCAATAGATATGAAATGATATCTTTTTGTTTTAATTTGCATTTCTCTGATTACTGGTAACATTGTACTTCTCCTTATAGACTTAGTAATCGTTTAAGATTTTTCTTCTCTAAACTGCCTGTTTTTAACCTTTGTTCAATTTTGTGTTGGATTTCTTGTTTTTGTTTTCTCTCTTTGCTGGAAAGAGAAATTTCAGAAACTCCTTATATTTTGTAGATACTGACAGTTTAGAATATTGCAAATGTCTTTTTTCCAGTTTGCCGCCATACTCTAAACTATGTCTATATTATCATCCATGAAATAGAAAACCTTGATTTTGATGTAACTAAGTCTATCAATTTTAATCTTATAGTTGGTATTTTTTGAGTCTTGTTTTAAAAAATATCCCTCTCTATTCCAAGTTCATAGCACATTCTCCTTACATTACCTTTAGCGTTTTATCATTCACATTTTGATCTTGATCCATCTTGGGTTCACCATTGTATATAGTATGAAGTAGGGATCCAACTTAATTTTTTTCTATATGATGAATTCAGTTTTGCCAATCCCATCTACTGCATGAGCTGTACATTACTCAGTGATTCCTGGTAGCACCCCTGGCATACACTAAATATTCATATTTACATGAAGCTGTTTCTCAGCTTTATAGTTTGTTATATTTGGTTTTGTGAAAGAAATTCCCTCTCATTTCTCCTTTTTTAAATTGCCTTCACTATTTATAGACCTTTATTTGTCCATATATATTTTAGAATCAGTTTGAGTTCATAAAAATAATCCTTCTAGAATTTTGGTTGAATCAGTTGAATTTATAGATAAATTTTGAGAGGAACTGACAACTTTATAATGCTAAGTCATGCCATTTATGGAAGAATAAGATCTACTTTTAAATTATTTAATTGAGCTTTTTTTAATATTAGCAGTCTTGGGCATTCTTTGTTAGGTTCATAGGAAAATACTTATAGTTTTTGTTGCTATTTCCTACTTTATTTTCTAATTAGTTATTGCTGATATTGAGGAATAGTATTAATTTCTGTGAGTTAACTTTACATCTGACAATCTTGCTCAACTCTTTCATTAGTTATTATAGTTTGTTTTTGGTTTATGATATGTTTTCTGTGTAGCTGATCATAATGTCTGCAGATAATGATTTTTGTTTCTTTTCTTCCTATCCATATATCTCATTGTTCTTTCTATTGTCTTATTGTATTGACTAGGATCATCATTACTTTGTTGTTCAGTAAGATGATAGTGGCCATCCTTGTCTGATTTCTGATCTCAAAGAGAATGTATCTAAAGTTTCTCCATTAACTGATGTTTGTAATAGGTTTTTGGTAAATAGTCTATATCTAATTATTTCTAGGCTCCTGAGAATTTTTTTAGTAAAACGTAAATAAGTGTTGAATGTTATTGAATTGATTTTCCTAATTTATTGATATAATCCTGTGATTTTTATCCTTTAGTTCATGAATGTGGTGAATTTTATTGATAGATTTTTCTGATATTAAACCATCCGTGTATTCTTTAGATAAATCTAACCTGATAAGGATGTATTACTGCTTTTTTTTAAACATCCTGTGGAATTTAACTATTATTTGTTTATTTTTAATCTTTTTTGTATTGATATGTATAGTCATAAGTAACACAGGCCTATACTTTTTTTTTGTATAGTCCTTATGTGGTTTGTAAGTCAATATTATTTTAGCCTCATTAAAATTATTGAACATCCTTCCTTTTTGTCTGTTTTATGAAATGATTTATATAAGATAGGAGTTACCTGTTCCTTGCAAGTTGAGTAGAAATCACATATGCAGTAATATGCATTTTTCCTTTGCCACATACTTGTTCCTTTCTCTCTTATCATCTTGTTTACATGCTCCATGATTTTATTTAATCTCTTCAATCGTATAACTGGTTATGGGAGTTTACAGTTGTTGTGTTTAATCTAAATGTCTATAGAAAAAGAACCATATTCACTCATATCAAGTTTCAAGGTAACTTATTGTAAATCTCATAATTGCAAAATCGAGTGCATTTTTTCTCTTAAAAGTGTAAAATCTATGAAAATGGGTAGTTTGTTTAGTTTAATGTTATATCTTCAGTACCAACGACAGTACTTTGCATATAGTAGGTACTCAATATATATTAGTTGAAAGAATAAATGAATAAGTGGTAGCTAAATAACGTAGTATATTTGTTTGAACATATGCTAACTCAGACCTTATTATTCATTTACTTATTCAATAAACACTTATTGAATTTCTCTTCTGCATGAAATGGATTTGGAGAAGCAAGGCTGGCTATATAAATAAATCAAGGATTTAATGCTTTAAAAAAATTACAATCTACCAGGAGAGAACTTACAGTCTTTGAATGACTATAATTTGACAACACTATGTCTCATCACTATGTGTATGTTAGTTTTTGTAAGCTTTATTAAAATTTTATGATATAGAAAATGTAATAGATTTTCTCAAGTGAGAACTCTAATAGTGATTCTTAAGCGTACTGAAGTAATTTATTTACACACTTACTAGCTGTGTGGTGTTAGGCAAGTCACTTAAACCTTAGCTTTCTCATATATAAAATGTGATAATAATTTCCTACTTAGTGCAGTTATAAATATTGTATGAATGGTGCCTAGCTCAGTCTGTGGCACATAATTGGCATTTAATAAATGGCAGTTAATATGGCAAGAATTATGTATCTCTGATGCTAATTATTAGACACATTATTGGTATTTTAAAAAATATGTGACATAAAGTATAAACATGTAGATAGAGGTTCTAGTCTGCCATCAAGATACAAATTTTGTCAATTATTTAAAATTTACACATTTGTATATTTAAATACAAAGACTGTATAGTCCTAAACTGTGAGGACTAAACAGAAGGACCTTAAACTGCCCTTTTAAAAATAAATTCTACACACTAGTATTTTGTAATGTTGAAATGTTTGGTATTCATAAATTTTCTATAACAATTTGATAAGGCATTGTTTATATGGCAGAAGCAGGCCGCTTCCTCCATTCATAATGTTCCCTAGTTTTGAAAAGGTACAACTAGTGGTAAGACCTCAGCTCTGTTTTTTCTGAAATATATCTTTATTTTTTACACCTTGCTGTAAATAGAGACTTTAAATAAGAACTCACATATCTGCTTTGCTAAAGGAAGGGCCAGAGCCTGTATAACTTCTCAAGGTGACTCTTTTTGTAGTTTTTTGGGGGCTATAATTTGTCACTTCTCTATACTTGCTTCCCCATTCTTAAATCACTAATTTGTATTACTGTGTGGTGAATGATAGCTCTTCATAATATTAATGACAAAGATATTTTAAAATGGATTACTTAATATAAAGATTTATGACAAATATTTTCTCATTTCCTGTTGTAGTTAATATCAACATTAGGCTTTAAGAAAAGATTTGGGAATAGAGAAATGAGGACTGAGT